CGTGCAATTGGTGTATATGGGCGGATTTTTATAATACTGCTTTTATTTTGTATCAAAAATTTCCGCTTTTGTGGAGATTCCATAATCAATTCGTATTTTCTATTTAATATTTATCACAAAATGAATACTTTCACTTCGATATTACGTGTTCATGCATGCATTTGTCCCTTTATATTGTATTCTCTGTTCAGTGCAGGGTGTATCCTCAATTTTTTTCGCGTTTAAAAAAGGTCTTGTCGCTATTTTCATTTGTGAATATTTTTTCAGGACTGAAAGATTTGTCTAGAAATTCTGTATCTATATTTTTTCGCGTTTAAAAATAGGACTTGTCGCTATTTTCATATGTGAATATTTTTTTCAGGCTTGAAAGATTTGTCTCGAAATTCTGTATCTATACACTGTATATCTTTACTTTTGAGAAGTGCAACTCATCTGACCCGCAGATATTGCAAAACTTACTGAATGATGTGGTGTAACTTGAAGCGCATTTCATCAGACACAAATTTGTAGCTACTAATTATTAACGTCGCTTTAACGCCAACTATAATTGTTTGTTTTTTCGATTGCTTCGATTTTTTTTTATTATTTGGCTTTTCATTTTGATTGTAAATAAATAGGACTATTAAACTTGTGTTCATATGATGCAAAAGCTATTTGCAAGTATATAAAAATATTGATATAGATATGTTTGACACATAGTATAGATATTCATATCAAAGAAATATGATATTCATATAGATTTATTTCTATCCTTGAACAGTGTGAACGTGATTATTATGGAAATCTTTTTGCACAGAACGTTTTTATGGCTTCGAGACATTTTCGCAAATATCTGCAATTGTCGTCAATCTAAATAACGTTGGGGTATTTTGTTCCAGTTTTCCCGAATGTCCCTGAGCCTGGAATGCTGTGTCATGGCGAAGACCGTAAGTAAATTTGAACATCATTATTTTGAATGCCTGTATCAGCGTCATACATTGTGCAAATCAAAATATATGTTTTTTAACTTAGTTTTTAATAAATTATTGTTATATAACCAGTCGCCGAGTTTATGCCGATACTTTCTATCGTTTTGTGTTCAGTAGACTACAGAAAAAAACTGTGATTTTTAAAGTATTTGTATGACGACTGTTAAGCATGTATGATTATTAAGCGTCAGCTCTCCACGTACCTATAGAACAACCGACAATGAGGCAGCATGCCGTACAAAAAATGTCGCATGTACGTTGCGCGATATCAGTGATAAGATTGGGGCACAGAACTCAAGCAAAGCTATTCGTCATTTAGTGTGTTTCAGCTCTGTGGCAAGGAGGGTTCCACCAAGAACTTCACACATTTACAATAAAAACCATCATCACCCCGTAAATTGATTTCAGAATTAGAAGATATTATTTGTTGTTGATTGTTGTTGTTGGTTACGTTAGCATATAACAATTGTGCTGCCTCTCCTTCATAGCAAACCAACTTTGAAGTTGTGTGGAGTTTTTAAACACGTTCATATGTCACTTTCCTCTTGATGAATTGTGCATCAGCGTGACGTTAAAAATTAAAATTGTATTTCTTTTGCATTTGGTCAGGAATCCCTCTGATCAATTGTATACTGCGCGATGATAGAAATCACAATTCTATATTTTTGTACATTCATCGGTCTGCGTATCATTTTTGTATATTCGCGTCTTACGATGTTTAACTTTGTTAAATTTGAATGCAAGATTATGTACATCCACGTAAGAATTGACTGAGAAGCAAACTACACTTTTGATGTTTGCTTTGCATTATTTGTCATTTGCTCAGCTGTTGATATCAATGTTGTCAACTGTACTTTCTTCTAAGTTGAGGACTCGAGTCACGTGCTTGTCATATTTTGAATAACGTTAATTTTCTTGAATGTTCATCTCTATGTAAGTAAATGATGCCCCTAAAGTTGGTGCAGCTGATTGATGTAGAGTAGTCGTACTGACAAAGCAGCATTCATCGTTCTTTCGAGTTCGCCCGCTTACGACCAAAGTTTGTGCTCCGTTTTTTTTTTTCGCCTGATCTCGACTCGTTATAAAGTTGATGGGCTGCATCTCGAGAGTTGTTGCTTTAAGATACACCGACTTCCTGCCAATATTGAGCCTCGCGCCGTATTCTTGGGCATCTTCCTTAGTTTAGCGTTGTTCGTTGTGCCTTGTTGACTGCGGTGCCTTGCTGTCTGGATTATAGTCTTGCATCTTTAATTTATTGCCAAATGATATTGATCAGTTAACTCCCGTAGGAAAATGCAAGTACTAGCGTGACGAATTTGCGTAAAAGTTATTAATTTTTTGTCACGTTTTGGAAGGAAAATAGTTATCAAGTCATTTTCTTATTTAAAGTAAATGAATTGCTATGAAAATGATAAATACCAGCATGCAGAATGTCTAAGTAATGAGTGAAGACATGTTTTCAAGTTGAAAGCTTATCGAGCATGTTGGGTTTATTCAAAATTTCTAGTTACACGCATGAAAAAAAAATAAATAAGCTACGTAGTGGATTGTATTAAAATATAACTTTTAATACCCAAATTACAGATGATTTCACCGATATGCAATAAGAATAAAATTGGTTAAAGTCTAATGAAATTTGAAGATGAATAGCGGAATTAGGGGAAAAGTAGCGCTCTTCGAAAAGCAACAGGCTTTAGCTGCTGGTTTAACGCCCAAGGAAAATATAGCGTCGGGACGTCATTATTCTGACGCTCAGGTGTGGCCAAGCAGAGGGCGGGATACAGAATCCTGCCTCCATGAGCATCGTGTTTCTGCACCCGCCCAGCCTCGGCAACAAAACTATCCTCACCGCTCGTCCAGAATCGAAAAATCATACGGCTATAGGGATGGCAATTACCAGTCCCCTGGAAACGATATCGACAGCCAGCCGTACGGCATCAGTACTATTCGGGAGGACCCCAGTGGCGAGGCATTATGGAGACGATCTTCTAGCATGGGTAGCATTTTCAGCGACGCTGATAATGCTCGATATCGCTCACAACAGCTTGTGGATCTTGGGTACAGCGAATCACAATTGCAGCAATCGGCGCAAGATGGAAGTGTTAATCGTGCGCAGAAATATCCCAAATTTCCCGCTTCAACTTCCGATCGTGACCGAAAATCGAGTCTTCCGGCTCTGTCAGCTGATTTTGTCGACAAAGTTTACGCTACATGTATTATAAACGAATCACTCCGAGAAACTAGTCGTGATGCTCTCTCTCCCAAAATTGGACAGCCATTGAAGTCTTCTGTGTTAAGTAAAAGAGATAACCATCGGTTAAAATATTTAAGGGCAGATCAAGAAGACCGTGAATATAATGTACCTCATCATCATTTTTCTTCGCGGGCCGAAAAGCTGTCCTTCTTGACGCATGTTCCTTTACGTGTTTCTGATGAACTAGGCGATGAGCACAATGTCTGTTATTCAGAACCTTACCAAGATCAAACTCAAAGTTTTTACGACGTCCCCGTAGATTTTCTTCCTTGCAATTCTGAACGTCGTCCTTCATACGAGTGCTATGATCCTAGGACCATTAGAAAAATATCTACCTCTCTACTCGCACAAGGCTTTGAGAATAAAAACCATCGTCAACCAGCTGACAATCCTTGTACTTCAAGATATTCGCCTTTTGCGAGCTCGGTTTATGTGAACAAGCCTATAGATTTAACCAGACACTCCATGAGCGATCCAGACATCACCAGTCACTTCAATAGTGCGGAAAATCAGCTGCTAAACAACCTTTGTGCTTGCAGGGAGTGCTATCAATCTCAAGCGATTGACATTGCACGAAACTATCGCTCATCTAATCCCTACACGAAGCCACTCTCTTCAAGCTACGATAAAGATCATGATAGCAGTGGTTATTCTGTTATTCCGCAAAATATTAGTGTTCTAAGTCCGTCCTCTTTTCATCCTCGACCACTGAAACAAGATAAGTTAATCACGATAAAAACGAAGCGTCGGAAACCGGGATACGAGATAAGAACTTCTAATCCTGACGAATCTCCTGTCGACTCCCGTAAATTTAGTGTCTCCAATAGCGAAGATAGTAATCGTTCAGACGTTACCCACAATGGTGGCGCATCGGCATCACGTGACCCAAAAAATAAATTCTTCAAGAATTCTTTGTCAGCTTCCCTGCAGAATTTTAGTGTTCGACTAGGTCTACGAAGCCCAAAAAAGGATTTTAGCAGCGATCTCGATAGCGCGAGGAAATCTTCTAGTTCATCTGTTAACGACTCGGCTCACAACGGGGCTGAAACCATGAGAGGATGTAACAACGTTCACGCATCGCGTCACTCCACTCATGATTACAACAGAAAATTGTTAGATTCATCTAATAAGAAACGGCGATCCGTTTCAACTGGCAGTTCATATTCCAGTGGTTCAAGAGTGCATTCACCCTATAAAAACGTCACGTTTGCCCCCCGCAAACATTCACATCAGGAGCTTAATTCGCACGATCACAAAAAGATTGTATTTCATAAACAAAGCAATTATGGAAGCGCTCATGCCACCCGTGAAGGGCGTCGAATACAGAGATCGATGTCGCCTAACGTAACATACAAGGAAAATTCTCATTTGTGGAGCACGAAGAAGGAGCCAACTTTTAGGGTGGGGTCATTTCTAGAAAAAAGCTTTAATAACCGCAAAAGCTCTTCAACGTCAGTTTCTTCGAGTTTCGGAAGTCCTCACTACACTGGATCGCATTCCCACCAGCAGCACTCTATCGCTCAATCCCGACGTTCGTCCGTCCCTGTTCTCGATGATCGATGTGGAAGTGAACGGAAATCCGAAGTTCTAAGCACTCATGGGTTCGAGCGAAAAAGTCCTGCAATATCTCGCCAACTTAAACCAATTTATGGATCTCAAGGGAGTATCAACGATATTGGCATACCCGTGTATGGTTTTCATGACGAAGAATTTTTAGGATCAAAAAATCATGTTGGTAATGATATTTTATGTGAGCAGATTGACTGTTCTGCTGGCAGTAATATTTCTGCTGTTCGGCACAAACCTAAAACTCGTAAAAATGGTCAATGGCTGAAACCGAATTTTGATCAGTCATATATTGGGGCGGATGATCTACGCGCTGCCTCAGTCCAAATGTATGGGGGACGAAAACCTCGTTCAGGTCATCCTGTTGCTCATAACCGGCACATTACTGGCCACTGGCAGATGCGCACTGATTCTCATGGCTCTAAAAATTGTGAAACTTACAGTCAAGTTGAATCTTTACTTGTCAGAGATGAAAAGTATATTGGTGAAGGAACCCAATATTACCCGCCCATCGACGATAACGGCTATCCACTTGCGGAGAAGAATAAAAAACATCACGAGGCTGAAAAATTGGGCATTCCCTACCCTGCTCATATTGACGAAACTTGTCTTAGTGTGCGGAGAACGAGAAAAAATTCTATTTCTGCCACTGCCGGGGCCGCATCGCAAAATTTGGTCAAAATCAAAGAGAATGCTAGACCGGCTAATGAAAGGACCACGAGTGGAACGATTCAAATTCATAATGGGCAATCACCACTCACAAATCAAAACATCACAAAAAAATTGCTCGGAGATCCATGTTTACGAAAAAAATCACTCCCTACGTTAAATCATGTACCCATATCGAACGATATGCTAGAAAGTAACGCTGTTCTTGAATTTAAAAGTGAAATGTTCAATACCAGTGAAGGAGTACCATTGCGCTGCGACGGGAGTTGCACAAATGATATCCATAACTTCGCGTGCAGAAGATCGAGCTCGTTACTTGTACATTTTCACTGTGATACCAAGCTTAGTGATTTGGATGAACACGACGGAAACTCTTTACCCACTGAAGTAACAGATTCTGAACGAACGAGTTCGAGTGTTGGCAGTGCTTATTCATGTGAAAAAGAGACTGATGTCATTTCATCCGACTATTTGACGACCGACAAAAAAGACACCTTATCACCACATCAGTGCAGCGAAGTTAAACAGTCAAATTCTGTCCCGAAAAAACAAAACGTTGTTTCGAGTAAAACTGCATCCAAAGACGCGCGCAATTCTTCACTGAAGCGCACGGTCAAGCCATCCACAGCTTTGAGTGACACAGTTGATTTTCCTGTAGCGGAGACCTCTCACTTCGGTGACAGCACTTTTTATCTTGCACGGGAGGGACATGGAGCTCCAAACACATCATCCGACTCCATCGCTGAAGATCGAACAAGGGAGAGTGTCAGTAAGAAGAAGAAATATAGAAAGTTCAGTCATTTTGTTTCGCAAAATCTCTTTGACGGGTGTTATAGTCCTTCTTCATCGTCTAGTGTTGCCAGTAGAACAAGGACGAGTGTTTCTCAATTGCCAAAATGCAACGACAATCCATCTAATGTTGTTCTTGTGCATGATCAGAACCTCCCTATCGGGCATATTTCATCAAGCACCCACTTGCCGGATATTTTAACCCCCACTCGCCTTCCTAATTCCGACAGTCGCAGCACTTCTGCTCCACCGGAGAAGCTTTTGGCAAAAGATCCTTTACATGGGCTCTCTCCGGGCAACTCCAATAAAAGCATGACTCCTGCCCGCGACTCCAGAGAAAAGTCTTCGGGTTCTTGCGATTCTCCAAGTTCAGTTCATAGTTCTAAGCAAAACCATCGGGCTCCCACACAGGATATAAACTATAACGAGGAAGAAAACAAGTCACCGTCCTCTAAACCTATAATTTTACCAGTCAAAAGTCCTAATTTGATTTCTCGTTTTATTAAGAAGATCAGCTCACCGAGTCAGCCTCCTCAAAGTTCTCCCGTTTCAAATAAATCTAGACGAGCTTCCCCGAATTTGAAAGCTAGCGATAGCACACCAGTCACGACATTACGACGTTTCAAGTCAGTTGACGATCTGGATGCTTTACAACCCACCACTAAAAACGAGGAAAATCTCAAATCAAAAATTCTAACTCCGAAAGTCGACAACAATCTTCTTCGTGATCCCAAGAAACATCTTCAAGATGCTAGAGCTATCAATAAGAATCCAAAACGTGAATACTCTTCGTCGTGGAAAAGAGCGCAAGCCAAGCTGCGTAAGCATCAGTCTGCTAAGTATGGATCCTTGGACTCGTCCATACTCCAATCTGAACGTGATGGACGCCTTGCTCCAGATAAGCCATTCACTTCGAACACTTTGCCATCTCAAAAATATAAGCCTTCGAAAATTAATACAATCCGTCGGAGAAGTTCGAAAAAATCTCTGCCGCCTGTAAATATAAGAACGATTAGCAGAACCGGAACAAAGTACCGTAAGTGTGTAGTATGTTTGAATTTAATGCCTCAATATTTACGGCGATAAATATTGCTGCGTGCCCATTCTTTTGCAATTAGCGAGTTAGACAAAATCCCATCTGTCTTGTAAATGTATGTGAATTTCACTGTTTCGATCATTAGTGAAGTTAAACTTGAGCCTTCGTTAAGTCGAAAACTTTTCGTGTGTTTTTACATTTTTAGTGATCTATTGATGCTTCATTTTACTCTTTTTATTTTTAGATAGTGTCCCGTGGCCAATGTCGGTAAAATCCGATATTTTCGAGACAATCAATTGGGACAATTTTTGATATTTTTGGTCACAATCTAAACGATTGCTTACATTCAGTCAGGGTATTTAGATAGATATTTAGCATACACCAAGTGGTGGGGTAATTGTTGTCAAGTGCGATGAGTTGTGTATGTTTTGTACTGTAAATGCTATTGTAGTTTCTGCAAGTTTTTCATAGCGACCAATATAACGTGTACCTTTGAAATTACTGTGAATAAAATTAGTACATCTACTATTTAAAAACGTGCTTGCTTTTTAGATTGAAGTTTATTCTACTCTTCTAACGTGTTTCTTTACCGTTACAGGGAGCATTTATCGTCGTGGGGCGAGACGATGGCGCAAGCTGTACAAAGTCAACGGTCACATCTACCAAGCTAAGCGATTCAACAGGGTAAGGGTGCTTCAGGATTGATAACCGTTTAAATATTATAGAGTTTTGCATATACCAGAATTTTTTTATATGCTTATCTATATTCAAGTCGACATTTCACTTTCTACGATCTCACTTTTTTATACTAAATCAACTGTGCTGGTACGGTCCCTTCTAGAATTTCGAATTTATCCAAGCTAGAAGAATAATTCTGATTGTGAAAACATACTACATTTCAGCAACTTATGCCAAACATTTCTAACTAAGAAAGTCGTCTGAATTTTCAAGATGATATTAATAAATTATGCGTACATAGTATACCACGTTTCAATAGATACAGTTATTAACTAATTACTGTATAAATCTTTCTTGTGAATTGCAGACGGTTCAATGAGATATCAAGTAAAAATGTATTTAATTTAGTTAAATTTCTCACGTTGAATTTGGCTGGAAATTTCAAGTGGTCATCCAATGCACATGATTACAGCGAGCATCATGCGCTTTCTGCCAAGACCGCATCTGGGGTTTGGGTCGACAAGGCTTCAAGTGCACCCAATGCAAATTATTGGTGCACAAGAAATGCAGCAAACTGCAGACGAGGCCGTGCAACGACCACCACTTGGACACCTCCACGGACACGGTGCTCAGCAACGACAGCGTCTTGACGCCCTCCGAGAGGGGCTCTGTGACCCATGGGCGCCACAGGGCATCTGTCGCATCTTCTATCGCTGGTGCTTTAAGTTTCTTAAAGTCATAATATTGGCTGCGTTATAAACAAATTTATTCCAGCAACTATCCAGCGCGTATCATTTAATGAGATTAACTTGATTTTTAAGTTCTTTGATTTTAAAATCAGTAGTAGTACTGGTTAGTTACATGTGGCATTGGTGCATACCTGAATAGGTTTAAAAATAATTTCGTCCAATTCTTTAACAATGTTCATTATTATTATGTTTTTCTTAGATCGACTCGTGAAATATCTAAATCAGTTTTTCCGTGCAGGTAACAGCGTATCACGCGCTAGTGTTGCAGGAGTCCCTACGGCTCTTGCTGCCACCGCAGTGGCTGAACAACAGGACCTCAACAGTAAGGCATCCGTGCATGAGAGCAATAACTTCTCTTTACTTAACGATCCTTTACCCCTCTTCATGCATGTCCAGAAGCGTAGCTCGGTGCATGACTTCACTCGCAAAGGCAGTAAAAGCGCCTCTGCAAGTCTCAGAAGCTCGGCGAATTTCAAAGATGTTTCCCAGGACGTAAGTCCTCATGATGCTGGAAGTCTGAAAAACGAGCCCTATGGGAGTCTTTTCGAGGGAAGTTCTCAAAGAGGCAGTGTAAAGAAACTTGCACAAGTCCCACCTATCCTGATCGATAACCAAAAGTTTCTTCCAGAAAGCCTGGGTACGTGGCAACGCTGTCCGATCTTCGTTTTGCGTGTTCTTGGGCTATCACGACTTGCAGGGAATATTTTCAGCTTTATATTTTGTTAAATGACGTCGTCCGTCTTGAGATGTTGTGGGATTTTACTAATGAATTTTACCAGAAACATTTCCGGGCATGTTCAAGTTTTATCAGTTGGACGATTTGCTTTGCGTTTTGAGTGTTGGGATTTTATATGATATTGCTGTTGGTACTTCGTCTCCTCAGTTTGTGTGTATTATCAGTCAGTGAATAATTGACTTCAATCGACGGTTACTTTTTACATTTGGAAAAAAAAAAACAGAACCACTTTTTTTAATGAGATGCGATGACCATCGTTATAGTTATTGCACTCAAGCGTTAATTGTCAACTCTTGGACTTTTTACGTATCTGTTTTCTTTTCATGGCTTTTCTGCGAATTAACCACTTTTGTTGTGATGTTTACTTGGTTATTAATCAGCCCGAATTTCCGGTCTTCGTGGTGGCTGTCCAGTTGCAAGTGGTTTATGAAATGGTTGCAAGTTTGTTGAAAACGGCGCTGCATTCTTTACAATCAACTACCCGAAATTTAACGTATGCTTCTTTTGATCGATCACCGAGTCTCAGTACGGTTTTTGTGCATCGGCTATTGCCAAAAAATGTAATCTATGCTCTTCTTTTATGTTACAAACGAAATTATTTTCGTGACAAACTGACAATGTTTTCCTTTCATGAGTCACACGCTTGAAATTTGGCGACTACTTTTTCACGACTTCTCCATTTCGCATTTCATCACAATTTCTGCCGTTTTTTTTATGAAAGAAGTTAATATAGTGGTGTTTTTTGTTACCGTTTTCCGTTGTTGTATTTCAATATATATCGGTGGAAATGTGTGTATTTCTTTCTAATAACGCATCATTTACGTTTTGTTCCTTACTGAGCATGCTTTTAAATTTTTAGCTCTGTGTACGTCGCGAAATTTCGTAATCCTATGTATAGCTGCGTTATTAAAAGTTTTAATCTCAATTTTTTCTTAGTAAAGTGGTGGAGATATTGACTCGACAAATATTGCTGCAATGTTCCTATGCTCATTTATTTCAAACGAAAAACTTCAAATTCCCTCGAACAATGATCTAAAAATGTTCCTCCTACTAATGATCAAACCATGACAATTCACAACCATCCCATTAATTAATAACCCGCTTGATCCTAATGCGGATCTCGTTTGGCTTCAGATGCTGAAGTGACGGAGGAAGCCGCCGTTGAGATGCCTCCTGGTAAGCTATTTTATCTTAGGATGTTAGCATGACATGCGTGTCAGAATTGGCTCATCTGTTGAGTGGTCAAACTGTTTTATAAGCTCCGGTAATGTATAGCTCACGTGATTATTTCCGATGATTTAGTCAGTACCTTATTTTGTTCATTTCACCGGATAGGAAACATTTATATTATCTAAAGCCATGAATACTCTGTGTTTGTTCACATGAAACGAAATCGTAATGTAGGTAGTGTTCTCCTACAAATGGAAAAGAAAATAAATGTATTTATCTGACTTTTCGATGAAATCTGAAGTCGATCCGTCGGTGAAGCCATGAACTATCACATGAATTGAAATTGTATTATAGTCTTCTCCTACAAATGAAAATGAAAACAATTGTATTTATCTGACTTTTCGATGAAATCTGAAGTAGACGAGCCGTTATGAACTGTGTGCAGGAGAGCCAATGGTCCAGTCGCCAAGCACTGCTGGCCAGTACAGTCTCGCTGATTTTGAGCTGCTACGCGTTATTGGACGCGGATCTTACGCTAAAGTCCTCATGGTTGAGCTCAAGCGTACTGGCAGAATATACGCCATGAAGGTTATCAAGAAGACGCTAGTCACGGATGATGAGGTGATTTCATAAACAAGAATATTCTGTTAACAGCATCTGTAAATGGATTTGAGTCATTTATGAATGATGTGAATTCAATGCGCTTGAAAAAATTTTCGCAATAGTGTCATTGCATTCATGTTTATTCCAAAATTAATTATTATTTTGAAACTTGTACCAACTTCTATTGAATATGTTCTCCTTATTTTATTTTTATCTACCACTTTTATGTGCGCCTATCTGGCCTGTGTAAACAGCTATGAATAACCGGACTCATGCATTTCTAATTACAGGACATTGACTGGGTTCAGACTGAGAAGCACGTGTTCGAGACAGCATCCAACCACCCGTTCTTGGTTGGCCTGCACTCTTGTTTCCAGACACCGTCTCGCCTCTTCTTCGTAATCGAGTTCGTACGCGGCGGTGACCTGATGTTCCACATGCAGCGACAACGCAGACTCCATGAAGAGCATGCGCGCTTCTATGCTGCCGAAATCTGCCTTGCTCTTAATTTCCTACATGAAAAAGGTGCCTTGAAGGGTTATTAATTAGATGTATCAGTAAAAAATATTATAGCCGTTCTAATATCTCGGAAAAGTTGCAAATCCTCGCAATAATTCATATTATAATACTCTGTAAGGCAGTTAAGGCTATTTGGCCTTTATGAAAAATTGCAACGCTTTCCCAGCCGATGAAGCTGGAGAGTTATTTGTTAGTAAAATGACAGAATATAATGTAACAGATATTTTCTGATGAACAATTTATCTGCATTCGTTCATTTTCAGATTTATCATTTTTAGCGCATTTTCTCATTTATAGAAAAATGCCCTATTGTGCTCGTTTGTCCGTCCGTCCGTCTGTGACTTCACACGTTTTCGTCGACGAGAAAATGCGCTCTCTGTCACTCACTGCAGTGAGTACTGAGTTAGTATATTTTTTGTGAGGGTTTTAAATGGCTCGTGTTATCCAGGCATTATCTACCGAGACCTGAAGCTGGACAACGTCCTACTGGACCACGAGGGGCACATCAAGCTCACAGATTACGGCATGTGCAAGGAAGGCATCCGTCCCGGCGACACGACGTCCACTTTTTGTGGCACCCCCAACTACATCGCTCCTGAGATACTACAGGGCGTCGAATATTCCTTCAGCGTAGACTGGTGGGCTCTGGGTGTGCTTCTCTATGAAATGCTGGCCGGTAAAAGTCCCTTTGACATCGTCGGAGCATCTGATAACCCCGACTTCAATACTGAAGATTATCTCTTCCAAGGTGATTACGAAACCAGATGAAAGAGTTTATTTTTCATTACCGTTTGTGTAGTACTCTAGTACAGCTTTTTTGCTCTTCCGTAGTAGTATTGATTTTCATGTCTGCTAATTTCAGATCTTATAATCGTATATGAAGTCTTTTTTCGTCTTGCTTAATTTGTTTCCATAACCTTCAAGTATTTTAATTGATTCAAAATTTCCGTAGTGACAACTATCCTTTTTTTGGCAGTGATTCTGGAGCGTCCCATCCGTATCCCTCGCTCTCTTTCGGTGAAGGCAGCCAGTATCCTTAAAGGATTCCTCAATAAGAATCCATCTGACCGTCTTGGCTGTCACCCAGAGACCGGCTTCACTGATATCATCGGCCACCCGTTCTTCAGAACCATCGACTGGGAATTGGTGAGATTTTCAGCGTACTTACTACTTCATCCCATCATTATGACATTCCATATTAACTACACCCGGTATTTTTTAGTATTAATTTAGCGAACGAGTTGGGACTATTCAGTTATCGCATATGATCAATTGCCTGATTCAGGTTAAAACTACATAGCATTCACACGTTCTTTCTCTAGAGCTACAGGATAAAACATCTGTGATTAGGTTTTACAATATGGAAAATATTTTAACTTTGAAACCCACTCCCAATTTTTTATAATATCCCGAAATTTGTTACAAAGTTGTATAAGTATACCGAAATTTGGTGGACATTCGCATATTTGCTAAACATTGAAGCGATTTTGATTGTTGTACGAGTGCTTGATTGATTGTATTCTTGAAAATTTTAATTATGGCGAGTTTGACCAGTTGGAGGCTCGTCAAATATCTCCTCCCTACCGTCCAGCTCTTAAAGATGAAAGAGATTACGCTCAGTTTGACCCGTGCTTCACTAGGGAGCCCATCGAATTTTCTTTCGTTGACCAGTGAGTGGCTGCTGTGGGTGACCACAACTCTTGTTTTATTGCGTTCTAGAAAGGTCTGTGTCGTTGGGAAGTACTTTTTTCTAATGCTTTAACTATTTGTGTTCTTAATTATTTGGTCAATCAACCGGGTGTTCAGGATGTAGTAATGCTGGATGTATTTTCTATTAATTGAACTAAGACTGCACTTCCTTAGCTAGGGGATTTGAACTCCACTTTTGGAAATTCTTCTCCCAAAATTAATGTGTTGGTGTAATAGATTCGCACGGCTGGGAATTATTCCAAAACCAGTAAAAGGTACGTAAAATGCACTCGCCACATGGTGTGTTTTGACGTACAACAGGATCTTGCATGCATTGCAGGAAAAATTTGTGTAGCCATTCTGTGTGGTTTGTGTGGCGACTATGTGTGGTTCCTCCTGCAGCTAGAACAGCGTCAGGTTCCTCCTCCTCATCGTCCTCGCCTCGAAGGTGACAGAGACTTGGCGAATTTTCCTCCAGAGTTTACTGATGAACCGATACAGCTCACCCCTGATCAACAGTAAGTGAACAATTCTATTATCCTGATCACTCTTGAACAACAGTAATAAATACTCAAATCATACGGATCGCTTAGGACCAAGTCCTTGGTTTAAATGATAATTACTTAATCCAGCTCACTCCTGATCAGCTCTGTCTCATCCCTGATCAAGAGGAATTTTTTTAAAGAAATTGTCTTTATTCGTCTCTTGAATATTTGAGAAAGGAAACCTCAAACTAAAGATTATTTCGTACCTTGCACAGCAGCATCGCATGGTATTCATTTTTATGATGTTAGTAAATAAATTTTATCGCTAACTACATGGGCCTTTGAATTCAGTTGTTAATTTAATACTTGCTTAATTACTTGTCACTCCTTGAAAACGTATGATGCTGATCACACTCAGCCAAGTAGAAGATTGCCTCACTAACAACTATCCGATGAATTATGTGGTAGACCATGGTTGAACTATATAAGGTTGACCCACGAGGATTTCCGTTTTTCAGTTCAGCTTTCTTGTTACGTCACTGAGATCGAGAAACGTAAACAATCCCGTCATTCCCATGACGGATTGGTTGACTGGTTTGAACGTATTTCGGCGAGTTGTTAATGCCCGTGACGTCACTGAGATCAGTGACGTCACAGGCGAACAACAAACTACATCTGCAAAAATGAGCTTCTCATGGGACAACCTTACACTAGTTCAACCATGGTGGAAGACTACGCTTTTTTAATATAATTTCGTATCTTGAGCCTTCCTCTGCTGTTGAAATAGAAATGGTATTATATATCAGTTGATCTCGTGCGTAGTGGTTTTGTAGCGCCTGGCCATTAGATTCGTTATGTACTGCGTTTACGCAGGGCACATAATTATTTTCGTAGCCTTGTTCATTTTTTTATATCAATATAAAAGTTCAACGAGTATGAAGTTATTGAATAATTTTTTATGAATTTGGTTTTTTGATTAATTTAACTTTTATTAGAACCTTACAATTTTCTACTAATGTTTTCTCCATATTGGGCTTTATAAAAATTTTAATGTCATTTACTGCTTTTTTACTTTTGTTGACTGTGTTCATAATTTTCTCGCATTATTCTACCATGCTAATTTTTATCAAACAGAAAATAAATCTGACGTTAAGTATTAAAAGGATTTCATATATATCATTCGACCATAAAAAAGTAAATTCATTTCTATTATGCGATCTAAACCGGAAGATGTTTTTTATAAATATCTTCAGGGTATTTACGTGTTATTTCTTCCTCTGTCTGTGCCTCTAGATTAATTACTTTTGCAGACGCGACATTGACAACATCGACCAGAGTGAATTCGAAGGCTTCGAGTATGTCAATCCTCTGCTGATGAGCATGGAAGACTGCGTGTGAACTTGGCTCAAGGTTCTACTCGCGACCGCTGCTAATCAAATGACCAATAGAAAACCGCCGAAATACTTTGTATATAATCAAGCTTACAATTTATATCCAGCTTATGATGTTAATAATTTCCTCGCCCTGGATAAGTGGTCCGTGTTGTTCATTATAAGTAGGCTTAAGACCAAATGTTATTTCTCAAGGCAACTTCATGTCCTGTGTGCTTATTGATCATGATTGCAGCTATTAGACTCGTACATATCACTCGGTGAGACGGAGAAACCTTTATCAGTGTTAGACTCTCGTTACTTCGATTTGAGAAAGCCCCGTTGAAATCCCGTAACGGAATGCCCCTGAATCATTCCTTGGTGCTGTGAGATGAAGCGGGTCGATTATTATTGACCCTTGATAATTATCAAGGTCTTCCTTCAGGTGCAGTTAAATAACTATTTTTTGACCTATAAAATCGTCTGCAAAGAAAATATGACCTCAATATTATAATAGTGCCAATTGAATTAAAATCACACCGCGACCTAGTGACATTTTGAATTTTTCCGTGGGATTCATTTCATGGGTGACAGCTTGCCCTGACTATAAATGCTATTAGTTAGACTTCGCGTTCTTGACAGGCAAGTGCGGACTTTATTTAAAGTGTTGAAGAGCGTTTCTTATTTATTATTTTATTGAGATCTGCATGTTATTAATGACACCTTGTTTAATTTCTGATTATAAAGAACATTTTTAGCCTCTACTAGCTCCTGATTCCATCTTGCTCCTCACATAAATCTAAAAATATCTGCTCACTTGTAAACCATTCACTGAATTGCCAGCTGTATGGCAGCAGCGGGGTTCCAGTTCTAGGCTATATTAGAATTTGTAACGAAGATCCGAAAGTGAGGTGTATGAATTTTGATAACAAAGCTGTGAGTTAGATAAATGAGTACGTACGGGATAAACGTTCGCCCTCGCATTGCATGAACGTTATTTGCGGTTCTGTGATCATGAAGACAATATTGTTGTTAAGACCCCGCACCCGGTCTCGGCGTCGCACAAACGCAACTGGGTCTCTCCAAATGTCTACGGTGTTGGGGGCAGTTGAAGAGGTTTAACACATCATTCCGGAAGAACTGGCTGCAGCTGCTTAATTTGCTGATGTTATTGTTAATTCTGCTTTTGTAGCTATTGAGGAGTATGCAGTGACCGGAGCAAAGTTGTACCAGCGTCCGTCTTGCTGATATCTGAAGTGATTGTCAAGATAAGTCTATTGTTGGGGGAGGCCAGCCGTTGAGTAGTACTGGTGCGTGGTACGAGTCTTTGACGGCTCATGCAGCGTTGGAGTGGAGAGTGTTACTGGCTGTTTTAAGTGGTGAGCTGTTGATGTTGGTTGGGATTGAGCAACATTGATGTATTCGGTGAGAGCAACATTGAGTACGTATTCAATGATTGAGCACCATTGATGTATTCGGTGTATGGAGTGTTTTATGTTGCGGGGTAGGTGTCGGGTAATGATGGTATTGGGGGCGATTGAACGGTCTGGCGAGGATGGTTGTTCTGTGGTTGGGAGCCCCGTTGGTGTGTCCACATTCAGAGTACCGTGATCGGAGTTGCCGATTTCAATTGCCAAATTTTCGCTCGTATCCTTATTGCTTAAGTACCAGACTGGGTCATGCGCTTCAGGTCACCAAACACTAGGAAGTTCAATAATGTAGACATTGATGATGTTCAGACCTGTGTTGTTAGTTGGTCTTGTTCGATTGCATTGTGGCCTGGTAGAGGTTTAAGTGTAAAAAAAGATGCGTTATGGTTCAGCATCATCATACCGTCGCCTCGTCCCGTCCCCCGATCTTCACGGTAAACGGCCAAGTTGACAAATTTCGGATCTTCGATTTAAATGAAAACCAGTTGGTTTCTTGGATGGCCACGATTTGGATGATATGGGTAGACCAAAATTGTTCGATCTCGTCAGATTTGCTTCATATGCATAGGAAATAGTTGTTCACTTGATTGAGAGGCCGACAAGTTATCCCAGACAATTCGTACGTACGGAAGACAATATTCTTACGTTTTCTAGTTGATCTTGCAATTCTGTAGCTTAAGGGGAAATGCCCCTGTAAGTTATTGCCTGATATTCACTTCATTTCCCTAATTCTTGGTAACATCGAGTAATTTTTTGAGAACCGATCACCGGGATACAAATTTAAATTCTACAATGCATTTTTCATTCAGCTTTTTGATCGTGAAATTTCGAGATGGGTTTTGTTGTTTTTCCCCGAGATAATTTCTTACATTATGAGCGGGTTCTAGCACAGCAGGCTCTTTGCTGTGTGGTGCTTGTTCAGCTTGCTGGCCGAGTTGAGGCATTAGTGTGAAACTTTACCCTTCCTTCCCTCAATTTTCGTGGGGAAAAGACGCATTTTCATCTGCCATGTGACGTCATAAATAATAGAGTATTGTTTTTAGATTGAGATCTTCGAAAGCTTATTTCGTTTAGAATATATTACGAGAAATTTAAAATGCGTGTCTACCTGAAATAAAATTTCCACAACTGTATAGTCTAATAAGATGTGTTCATTTAATATTTATACATTGAGAAATGTGATTTCAACTCCACAATATTTGTGCCTTCATATGCTTATTTTTTGTTGTTCGATGGCTAACTTGAAGAATATTTTGTTGAGACGAGCTTAAAGTGCATTCAGCCGCTTGGCATTATTATCGATGTGCCTTCTAAGACGATGTTCCGTGTAAAGTATAAAATTTAATGGAGGAACCACATGGAATTCGTGCACCATAACTCTTTAGACAAGAGCTGAAGAATGGTTATTTAATAGAATAACTTTACCACTAAGTTGATGAACCGTGTTTAGTAGATAACTTTAATGGATAACTCATAGTATGCATTCCCATTAGAATATCGTCATTATATCCTTTTTTACTAGGTAATAATTTCAGAACATTATTTCGATTGATGACGGTTTTCATTACCGATTAAGCATGAAATGTTTCAAATGCAACTAAGACGCGAGTTGTTAATATTTTATTATAAACATGACGTAATCGTTTCGTATACCATTGATTTATTTTGATTACAATTGAAAGAACATGTGGTCGAACACAGATGTTGCATAGAACAACGTTTTCTCAATCTATGGTAATCTGTGCACCAGGTGATAATAAAATACCGTAAACGAATTGTAAGTTTTTCTTCAAAATATCTGTACATCCTACATATATTATAGTGTTACAATTTCCTACTTGACCATTGCACGTTACTTTCACAACGTTCAATGTGAAGAATTCCAATATAAAAAAGCACAGATTGACGCTATAAGGAATTGAGTAGATTGTGATGCCAATTAATGCCTTCCACGGTTTTTAAGTAGATGTTTTACAAGTGGAAGTTGATCGTATTTGAAGAACATAATTAGCTTGAACGGGTCGACTAAGATTTCCAACAGAGGAATTTAATTTAAAATTTCACCAGATTATGACAGAGTAGAGAACCACAGACCTAAATCCATCGTATGGCAGTGCGCCTGTTCAATCTTATTGCTCTAATTACGACTTGGCAAAGTTGATCAATCTTCTTTATAATAGTTCGGTAGTGATTGGCACTTACGATGGTAAATTTCATACCGCGCACAACGTCTGATGTGAAGTGATGCGCGGAGCTGCTAAGGTAAAGCATTGAAGTACCGAGGTTATAAAGCATGGAACCAGAAAGTCGATAGAAAACAGGCCAAGAAGCTTACAATTAATGAACGAATGCGTCGCAAAGTGTAACAATTACTGGTAGCCAACATTCGCGAACAATAATATAAATTAAATCACAACACCTGCATTAGCCCGAATATATCCAAGAAATTTCAAGTTGGCCAGTACGAAAATTCTGGATATCAGAATATCGCACACTATTAACTATCGAAACTAAGTTCTGCAGCATTAAATATTTTTGCCTAAATATTTCAAGAGTCATTTTGCAACTAATCTTACATGTACTACATTATGTACAACTTTCAATTATTCAACATCCACCGCGCTTCACATTACGTAATTTTGTATCAAACCGCCAAGTCCATATGTATCAATAAGATCGTTCAATCCTCATTATAAATTATTGTAAAAAGAGAGACTTCTTTGAAAAGAACTTCGTGACAGTCAAAGCATTCGTATTTCACGACCAGTTTCTTGTGGATGAAGAAATTGCAACATTCCAACTTTATATACACGGGAATAAAATTTGAAAACGAGTAACAAATTGCAGATGGATAAAAGAAGTGCAACAGAATATTAGCTTATTCATAACCTGTGAATGTGACCCCTATCATTTTAAGCCTTTTTACGTCAATACAATAAAGGTTGCGACGGATCACTTTTATAACTGCAAATTCAGCAACACAGATAGGAGGAAATCACTCTATAATATTTATTTCCACTGCACAGCCGTTCAAGCTCATAGAGCTTCAACAATTTTTATAACTTTTGAAGCATCTTCTTACTATGTGTGCCAATATCATATAATTTAATTTATATCTATTATATTTCCTAAAATACCAATTGTAGTGAAGGCCGACCTTGGACAGAAGGGTAATTAAGACCTAATTGTTGAACCCTACTTAAGCAAACAAGCAATGAGGCAAGTTATAGACACTATGAAGTTGCGTGCTGCACTGAGGAGTTAATAACGCCATTGATTAATCACAATTGCACGTTATCTAAGAAAAAACTCGTATTGTATTTTGCACAGAATATTTAGCAGCAATATAAAAATGAATCTTCCAAAATTCAGCTTCTGCATGACACAATTCTCTACAAAGATACATCCATAATATTTCATTAGAATGCAATGAGAATACAACCCAAGACATACAATTAAGAGAAGTCACCATGAAACAATAAATTTACTGAACACATTTACTGGCTAAATTGAACACAAGAGGCGACTTGAGAATATAATCAAGTGTCGACGTATACAAGACGTTCGAACAGCCAATATTAGCTGGAAGAAATGAAAAACCGCCAAGAAAAATTAATCCCATTCACCTAGACTGAAAATTGCCCCAAGTCGAATGCTTTTAGAAAAAACTCTCATTGAACCTAAAGGCAATTAAGCCCAGGCAATTATCTCGAATAATAATAGTTGAAGAGTTAAACTGTGATTTCGTTCAATATATCCATAGATCAACAGAAATTGGTTTCGAAACATTATTTAATTAAGAAACAACGGTGCTCTCTGCTTCGATAAGAACAAAAATGAATTGCAACAAACAAGTTAGCATTTCTAACCTAATGATCAACTAAATTAAGTCAAGTTCGCATCTCATATGAAACTAGGTAACCACGAATAAGTCGCGCCAAGCACGCATTAAATGGCAACCACTTATAAGCTCCGTGATTCTCGAGGCACAGAGCAATGGCAGGTTGTAGTTATTGATGCACTGTGCCTTAAGCACATCCATTTTCAACGAAATTACAAAACAATAAAGTTTTTAAAATGGTTCCTGCAGTGCAAAGATAAACAGTAAGTTGGCAACACAAGAAAGTACATTGAATGTTCAAAATGAACGGTGCACAGAAGCCTTTTTTTTTATTAGTTTCCCAGCACATCGTGACTTCTGCGATTGGATGAGTTCATCTCATTTCTTTCAAATTAATCCTCTAACTAAATAACTAAGCTTACAAACTTAACACTTTACAATTAAACTTTAGAATAACATTCAAATTGGTACAAGCTACAATTGTCCTAGCTTAATATCACAAAAGAAACTCATTACATTCTTAATCAACAAAACACCTATAACTCAAATTACTATGAAAGACAATTGAATTTACAATAGAAACGCCCAGATTAATATTCGCCCTTGTAAACGTGACACTTGTATAGCACACAAGAGAGAAAATATATCAAACTGTCCAGATAAAATCAAAAGAAGTTAATTCTGAGAGAAGCGGGAATTACTTTTGACTTCAGCAGCGAACGACAAGTCACGCTTGCGCATCTAGCTGGAAGTGCAGATAATTTTGGCAGTGTTTAAAGCTGGCAATTTCAATCTATGATAAGCTTTGATACAATGACCAGTCAGACAGTGTCTGGTGGTGCGAGCACAATTCCAACAAAAGCGACACATGTAATTTGTATTTAATAAATACTTCATTTCCTAACAAGAGACTTGGGAAGAATAAGCACTGAGGTTCTTCACAAGAGAAAAAACTTGTAACATCCCCTTTAATAATTATGAAAATTTCAACCACTAACATCGAACACATTCTATCCAAGAGAAAATCCGATCATGGTTCTGAGCTTTGTCGTTGACGTTTGCTTTCAGTCCTGTTGCTCTTCACTTAGCATTTCTGCACCAGCTTTAATTATAGAACCATGGGCATTTTTTACATCTACGTCATCTTTTTTATAACAATCAGAAAGTTTAGGACGAATCGACTTGTTATCTTCCTGCACTGAGAAATCTCGAATAACTTTGCTTCGTTCTTCAGAAGGACGATATTCAGATCGCTTTTTCTTCTTGTGTTCGTCTGAAGAAAAACTATCTTTTCGAGCAACATCAGGATTCGGATAGGCGTGTTCTGCTTCAAAAACTGTGGAAACAGGTATCAAAAAATTGCTAACAGAAAGCTTCTCTCCTATTTCCCTAGTTTTTGAAAGACTTTTTTTCGAATCTCCATCATATTGCAAATCATCGATAATTTTTGACGGAGCCTTTTGCATTGGTGACTCCACTGAGTCCCTTGATTTAGAGAGCTGTTGTTGATCTTCATGCTCGGGAATGTTGGAAGATGATTTACCGTTATTGCCTTTCCTTTCCGGAGCTGAGAGCGCTTCGTGAATACGTAGTGTTTTCTGCTTCTTGACACAATGTAATTCCCTCTTCAGTTGCGTCATCTCCGTATCCGAAGAGTAGATGCAGGTCTGTAATTTGGGAGACAGCGCCTGAAAAAATGTTCATTTAACATTTTAACTCAAAATAAACCTGAAATCAGAACATGGTAATCAAGAAATGCTCAGCTTAATTATTGCATACATATTAATAATTGGAGCAATCTTCAATAAAATGTATGTAACTGATCTCACCTCATGTGTCTTTTCATCTTGATGATGGCGTTTGTACGCAGCATTCACTGTTAATTTCTTCTCACTCGAATGGCTTGGTGATGACAGCGACTTGCTACCTTGGCTTCCGTTAAAATTACGTCGTTGGTTACTTCCGTTATCCAAAGTTTCCACCGGAGTTTTGGCACTTGCATTGTTAGCTGGTTCTGCGTTAATAGTGTCGACTTCTTTTACTAAAAGCTTGATAGCTGGCGGTGCGCTTGTTGAGCTATCCTCGGCAGTTGAAGTAACGCTGCTGTTGCTCATCTCATCCTTCGTTTCGTTATCACAAGTAAACGACTGACTCTTAACAGCAGTTTTTGGTTTTTTGAGATCAATTACAATTTCATTAACGCCGTCATTACCACAAGAACGAACACACACATTTCTTGATAACCGCTTATCATTGGAGTCCGGGTTATTCTCCAGATTCTCATTAGACTCGAAATGTACCACGGATTCAGCTTCAGATCGACTACAAATCCCTGCGATGGTCACTTCATTGCTAGCACAGGAACCAGGAGAATTTGCGGAAAGTTTGTCGGTGAGAAGCCCTTTTTCATGTTGTGAATGAGGAACAACGCATTTGATTTCAGGATGCCCCTTCGAAGTCGATGATTTAGTCGCTGTTGGATAGATGACGGGCGCGTTTTGATCTCCTTCACCAAGTTCTTCATCGATAACCAGACGTTGAACCAATGAGAGAATCCGAGAAACCGATTGCTTGTCCGACCACCGCTTCAAGATATTTTCAATCTCATCTACGATTTGTTCTGAAAGAAGAGTAAAGAAATAGAATAATGATAAAAGCTTATCCTCTCAAAATTAACTTCTTCACTTCGTTAAGACTACCCTTTCATTATTTTGTGAAACAAAAAGTGGTCAACATAATTAAAGTTCAAATCCTGATGCTATTCCTTTAGCGACATTCGTGGAACTTCTCTAATTTGATAGAACTAAAGAATACAGAGACCCTTTACATTACTACAGTATATAACACAATCTCATGACGTAAGTACTCACTTTTCTCAGCTGCATCCGAGTTGGTGGTGACTTCAGACTTAATACCGCGTGGCAGGGCAGGTTGGTTGCAGACGCCCCCTTCACCGGGCGTAGTGCAGTCCAAACGTCTGACGCTGGCCTTGGATGATCCGACGTAACTCCTAGCAGCTTCACGAAGTCGGATGTTTTCGTCAGCACTTGTGTCGTCTTGAGCCAGCAGATGAACTTGGCGAGCTGATTGGTGAACATTTTCCCAAAATCTTCTACCACAAGAAGATTCACTTTCTTGGTCTGTGATATTTTCTTCTTTAATGTTGATGTTTGGTGCTGCCAGGAAATATTCAGTCTTTCTCTGAAAATACAAACAATACATTCTAAAACAAGTTCGAGGACAAAATAATATTGACAATATATGTACCTATTGTTCATAGTTCGAGTCTAATTAAGTATAAATAGATTTCAAGTGAATATGATTGATTAAAGAGCACATTGATGACGAAATTCAAGATGGTAGTGTCCATAGCATGGGTAATAATGTAAATTTTTTTCTAAAATACAATAATCAAGTGATTTTCCGAGGAAACGAAATTATTTCGTAGACTTTTAAATAAAAAATAAAAAAGTCCTACCAAAATTAATTGAATTAAAGAAATAACGGAGCCAAGGCTATTATTCTAGGTTGGGAACAAATCTGAAAGTCAAAACTCTTCTGAATACTTACCAGCCCGACATAAATTCAGAAGATGAAATAAGGAGAACTATACTGGTAGACTCACTTTATCGTGAAATTCCCATGGTTCATTTCTTTGTTGCATCGGCGGAGCGAGTTTGAAGATTTTGAGATCAGTAGGAGAAGAAACAGTGCCTCGCACATCACGCAATGAACGTCCGTCGCCATTGTACGTCGAATCCAGTTTAATAATTTGAAGATCTCTAGGTACTGAAGCTCCACTCATAGACAACAAGCCAAGATCTTGTGGAGTAAAATATTGTTTACCATTATTCACGTCCCTCTCAGCCGGGCCACTGGAAATATCCTTAATAACAGGCATTATTTGCTCATTAATTGCTCTGTAGTGCGTTTCTTCAGACAGTTTGCATCCTTCAGGGAGTGAAATAGCGTAGCTCTTACTTGCCGCATGTGCATTCAAGAGTTTTAAGTTCGGCAAGGCTCGTTTTTCTGAAGAATCCCACAGAGTGTTTGAGGAGACTACCTCTGAATGTTCAGGATGTCGATCTTTCGCCTTAACTTCTTTGACATCGCAAGCACCGAATTTGTCTGTGATTTTGAGGGGGACTTCGCAAAAAGAGTTTTCTCTGGCTGATTCAGTTTCTCTGTGTTTCGGAATGGCAAGCGTGATATTGGGTTGATAGTGACGGAATTTGTCATACTGGGATAACGGCACCACCAGAGCGGGATCGACTAGCATGGGAGGTCCCTTACTCCTCAGGTTAGGAGGCAGAGGAGCAGGCATGCTGGAAAAAGACAATGGATGTAAAAAAAGTTATATTTTTTATTTTCGAACATCATTAGTTTTTTCCACGTCATGCAAAACATTATTCTCAAAAAATACTGGGAATCGGAAATCCTAGTTCCGATTCAATGAATTAAATCACGATGAATCACGATTTTGGTATCGTATTCACAACTATGTTGTTAAAACAGAATATATCACACAAATGATCATCAGTTGCACAAATCATATCAATTGAAAAAAGCTCCCACCTTTCTCGCACGAGGGCAGCAGGAGGAGGCGCAAAACTTTTGCCAGATTTGGATGGGACGGAGAGAGTTGCAAGTCGCCCCAGTTCGCCATCAAATGAGCTGTTCGCTCCACCGCCGCCAGGCAGCCGTTCATCGATGATGGTGACGCAGTCACGACTACTTTCCTCTTCGCAATCAGAACGAACATCGTTATTACGGTCTCTTGTCTCACTGCCATCTGAGTGAAGGCGATGCGCAATGTGTGGTGTTTCGTCCAACGGCCGTACTCCATGACCGAGATCACATTCGTTCGTCTGTAAAACATATGCAATGTAAATTCTATTCGATGAAAAAATAACTAAAATTGTGTGATCAATGAATTCATTAGAATACTGAGCAGATGTTGATTGATCGAGGTTCGTTCTGAATAATAGCTAGTCGTCTAATTTATAATATTTAGGCGTGTAATTATAAGATAAACAATAAGAACGACACAGGTCACATGAAATTTAGCACAAAATTATTTTTGTTCAACAACATAAGATCTTCAGGCCATATAGCCTGTTCTCTTGTCAGCAAGTCGTTATCTGTTGTATGAAACTATAGGCAACCGCAGCTAAATAACGTGCAAGACACAAAATTTCCAGCGCAAGTTACCAGTATTTCCTGCACAATTAGAATAACATCAGAAGTAAGAGATTTAGTTAAATCAATTAATCACCATGATTGAATCACTCTGATCAAATCAATGCCTTGATAATTGAATCAATTTAAAAAATGAATGAGTGTTCCGGAGTGAAAAATGCATTGAAATACCTTGTATGCTTAAATCGCAAATTTACCAGGAATGTAAAATTAAAGAATACACCACAAAATTCACCATTTCTTTATAAGAGAAAACGCTTCGGAGTCCAATTTCATCGTCAGTTCATAACGCCTAGTTTAGTTCAGAAGGAATTTAGTCCTAGAAGTACAAATACAATCAATTAGTAAAGTAAAATCCCCTGTCAGGTATTAAAAACGGAAATGAGCAATGTCGTCATGTCGTCCGTTTCCGTTTTAATACATGACATGGATTATACTTTACTAATTGATTGTATCTATACCGTTATTTACTCATTGATACATAAAAAAAATGAAAAAAATGAACGTAAACAAAAAGAAGTAAACAAAGGCCATCGGAAATTCGTTCCAACTTGAACGAACACACTCAACTATGAGTTACACACGAAATTCTCCAAAGTCATTCTCTACTACGAAAAAGATCATGTAGCGTAGCTTGTGAGACTTCAAGTTAATTGGTCGCCAAGCACAACAAGGCACTCGAGCTCGCGTTGACCTGCATGCTTGTCCTGCAGTAACAGGAAGTGCCACTGAGAGTGTGTCAGGGACTTGTAGCAGCAATACGCATACCTACGTCAACAAGTATACTCTGAAGTGCTAAATTCTGAACGTACAAATAAGGAATATATTTGTGAGCGATAATGCTTGAAAGGTGGCCAAAAATGCCACCGGAAAAATTCTATATAAAATTAATTGCTTCTGCTGCAGTTGAAACATTTGACCGTAACTGAGGTAAAATCGATGCAACCAAATGCTAGAACGTAAGAAAAGATTAAATCGTTATTCGTTCCATAAATAAGCGAAAGGAATTCACGAGTTTAAAACACGCACTACAATACGATTCACAGCATTCATTGCAGCACATTGCTCGGTAATGTCGTTGAACTCAACATCATAAATCAATTTTAATTAAGTTGCAACGCAAGCGGATCCGTCTGCATCAGTGCACATGCTAAAGACTGGCTTTCATAATTATGACCGGGCTCTCTCAGAGGACCGGGATGCAACCAAAACATAAAAAGTTGGCTTTCCAGTTGGATTCAGAAACTCAAAAATTTCCTCAGCGGAAAAATTTATCAAGCCACACGTGCGACAACTTTCAGCTTATTGTGCCCTGTTTTTTTCCATCAGTTGAGTGAACGCCAGACAACAGAATAACTGCACCGAGACAGAATTCAAAAGTTACAAAGGTTATATGGTATTCTTGTATGGCATTTCCGATGCGCAAATAAACCATAATTTGATTAAATGCAAAGGAATGAATAATTCAAATGAGCACGTTATAAAAAAGCGTATCCAGATGACATGGAAGATTATATTCAATGTCATGGTTCCTAAAAACGTTTGATCCTTTCGATCGAACAAGAATATTAATAAGCCAACTTGATGAACTGTCGATTCATCAATCATGAAGAATGAATATGAGGCATTGAAAATCAATAAAAATCATGCATTAAAACAAAGATCATTACATTAATCGTTTATAAAAAATCCGGCAAGTACATTAAAGGTAAGGATGACGAAATAAGCTAGCCGACAAGCAGGGCAAGGAGCTTGTAGACTCAAAAAGAAACTGGTCAGGAGCTTCTCGACACACAACCGCAGCTGCACAGGGGTGTGTGTGCGAGCGACCCTGATATATTGCAAGCCACGGCTCTGCATAGGTGCTGCTAACAAATACTAGGTTGAAATCTTAGAAACAAGTATAGTGAAGATCAACTTAAAAAAAAGACCAGAGCAATTCCAAGATAAGAGAACACCTGGATAAACTCGGATGTAAACAGTGCAACATGTGGATATATTTAATTAGGTGTTGGAGCTGCTAGTCCCAAGATAAATTTATTAATCGCTTTAAAGTTTACAGGCCACGTACAATAACATTCGCAGAGCTAAAAAAGTTTAAACGAAGCTCCTAAAACTACTGGAAAACTAGAATCGTTTTACGGACGGGGAAACTCCGCAAAAATCTACTGCAACACCGGTAACGCCTAAAAAAATGCGAAATACGGAAACCTGGCAGTTAATATCATCCAAACAGACCAAGAAAATAAAATGCAGTTTAATGTATCATACAGAGCATTTTAAAATAAAGGTACACGAATACGTGTATTCCAGTTTCGTTGTGCAAGATGTCTCTATTACCCTGAGTAGAATGAAAGCGTAGAATAAGAAAAAATTAAAGCAAACCAAGGTAGAATGTGAGAAGGCTCGGAGTCAAAACCAACTTTACTTCAGAGGCACAAGCATGAACGGCTCGAGCGACCAACCGAACAGGTTTGTCAGCTTGCCGGCCACAACACAGACAGGTTCTTTCTGCCTAACATCCCCGAGTTTCTATGCACGCCCACTTTAAACACAATTTCAATCTAATATTTCTTAATGTCAGGACTATCAGAAGAGCAATAAACTTTCCTATTTTTCTTTTAATAATAAATATAACCGTTAGGAATAAACTCGACATCGCAATTTTTAACTCCACCAATCGACAAAACTCTACACGCTGATAGAAAACTCTTCACGCACTTGAAATAAGTCATATTCCAATGCAAACAAATACTAGTGACAATTGAAATGATAAAATTTCATCTTCAAAACTAGTATGCAACAACATGCATGGTCACCATAGTGCTGTCGTGGTAAGTAAATAAGACACAGATCCCCTGATATGAGAGTGTCGACATAGAGGTTGAGGAAGAGCACGATTGAAGTTCCAAACTTCAAAAGTAAGAGAGGAAAGGAGAGCTGTTCAACAGGAACCGATGAAATAGACACGTCATAAAGTGTTGCGCTTGAGAAAATGAGGCTGCTGGATACAGAAGCACCGTGTTTGCAAGCTTGATGTGTAAGAAGTGCGATGAAATTGGAAAAAAAGCAACGATCCCTATTGATGAACGAGAAGCGTGGAGCGAAAAGTCACTGAAAACGACTTTTATGGATGTTTTTGGGCATTGGCTCCCAACCTGTGACGCGACAAGGGCCGTCCACGAACTATATTTGGAGTCATGAAAGATAATTTAAGCGCTTATAATTAGCGCATTATGTGGTATTCAATTCTACTATTTCTTCGAATTAGAGGCTAATGTGTAGGTACTGGTTGTACGTTTGGGCACCACCGCCCTCGATTAGTGAAACGTTACAGAACAACAAACTGACCTAGATAAAATAACGCTTTTAAATGTTTCTAAATGCTAAGCTAAATTGTCATACATAAAAAATATCTATAAAACTAAAAGAAGTCATGCTTGTAGCAACGATTGAACAAGAAAAATCTTGAAAGGTACACAGAAGAACTAATCGTTACTTCGCCATGGTCAATTGATCGATTTGTTTCAATATTTAATGATTAACGCTGAAGAGAAGAAATGTTTCCTTCAGTCTTGTTTTGCCTAACTTGAGCGAGGAGGGATGGATGCGCTTGCCGAGGGAGGCAAGCAGAAAGCGAACGATCGAGGCTGGAGGTCGGGGCTGCGTGTATCGATCACGGCCGTGACACTGATGCTGACTGAGCTCAGCTGCAGAAACAGGTGCATCTGTGCGACCAGGCAAACATGCACAACACGTGTTGTACGTTCAGCGGGTGCAGCTCAGTGATGAAGTATCATCAGGTCGAAATTATCTATCATGGACTCGTCGAAATGAGCGACTAAGAAATAAGTTTTAGCTCAATGATCTCTGAAAATTCCAACATTACATTTCAGGAAATAACTATGGTTGAGAGATATTTTGATCCATGGGGAATGAAGTTTGGAATTTAGATAAATTAGAAAATTTCCGGTAAGCGTTGCAGAGGAATTTTTTTAATTTTAAAATTTATCATTTCAACAGCATTTTTGAAAGAATTAAAAAAATTCTAGTCCTCATGACATAAGAAATGACGTTTTTATTGGATTTTTTTTTACGGTTCGAAATGACTTTTTACTATGAATGAAAAATGAATTTGAAAATTGGCGCTTTGGAAAGGAACTCAAGACTCCAGGCAGCGAGTTAGCAAGGGCCTTTGTCAATCAATCAACCCTTTTTTCATTCTGAAATAAATAATCATCTGAGATTCTCAATATCAAACTCAGAGCGACAGAACATAACTTTAGTATTAAATAGTTGTTTTCCCGTGACATTAAATTAAGTAAAACCCGAGCCCCGTGATTGATATCAATTAAAGGTTAAATATGAAGAAAGTTTCAAACGGTGCCGCCCTAATGCTCAGCAGAAGCCCCTAAAGTGGAGCATTTCTTCCCCATGCCCCCGACAGACTCTGTGACCCGAAGCTTGTACCTGCCCATTCGATGTAGCGACGATGAACACTTATGCAGAACAGATGGTGAATGAGGTGAAAACATTACAAAAAATACCACATCTGGCTATACCCAACGAACTCAATCAGAAGTAGGAAATTGAGTCCCGTGCTTGAAAATTACTGAAATCGCGCTCAACAAATGTGAGGTGGGGTTTGGTAGCGGTAAGGCAGCAGTGG